ATATTTTATTGTCAATTTGCACTGTGCATAAGTGCACTCGAATGAATTTACCTATTTTTCTTACTCAACAAGTGGACAGATATCTTCCATACATTTGGTTTTGTTCTGTTATTTTTATCCAGATTTTTCATCACTACTCAACCCTTTGACGTATGTAATTTCCAAATATTTTGTTCGTTAAATTATTATTCTTATCTTTTACTTAAGCCTCTTAACTATATAGTAATGTCTTTTTTCAACTTATCTATGCTTCGTATTAAGATATCTCTTTAAAAGTGTTGGTAAAGAATATTTTTATGTACACATTTTTTGATATAATCAGATAAATTTCCAATCGAAATGGCACAACGAAATATTAAATTCCATTTTGGTGAGATAACGATGATGTATGCAATTCATCGTCTAGCGAGCTGATTTAGCATCAATGAATTCATTAAATCTGTATCACATTTATTGATTTTATTAGTTAAGCACTTGTGGTCATATTAATCTGTGTAGGAAGCTGAATAAACGAACACATGTCTAAGTCGATGATATTAACTTTGTGCTTTTATGTGATTTACTTCTGTTCCCTGTAGAATACAGCGTAAACACAGATAAGTAATTTGATACTCAACATTAGTGTGAATTTAACTTTCAGTATCGATAACTGTATAGAGTTGTTGCCATAACATTTTTCACATATTACTTTACCAATGTAACAGTAGTTAAAAACAATTTTTAATTTCCTTTTCTTCATATTATTGTTGTTTGTTACATGTATTCTAATCTGAGTTTTGTGTAGGCAGAAATGGTTTTTCGTGACTTTGGAAACTTTGTGACTCCAAATCAGAAGAATTATTATGTATTCACTTTCATTGTGGAATCTGTAATAAACTACATTAAGTAAAAGTTATTTTAAATAGTTAAAACTATTTATTCTTATAAAGCATTAGTAAATGTAATTTTTAAATTAATTATTATTGTGTGATTTTTCCTTTAATCCTTAATTTGTATCATTTTATTGTTTATTAAGTTTTCTCTCCATTTTACCCTTTATTATTTATTATTTAAAAGTGTTTTTATTAAGTGAACTTAATTTACATTTTTCATTACATTTGGATTTTAACTAATCCTGAGTCTTTTGTTTTTGTAGTAAAAATTAGCAATCTTCCAAACTGTGTTCCTCTTTCTTTGTTTCTTATTTTCTTACACGTAAACATCAAAGAAGTTATACTTCATTCTATTTAGTTGATTTTTTCTTTGGCTATTTTTAAATTCCGCATTTTGTAAATTCTATCTTTTAAATAGTATTTCCCTTAATTTTATAATGATTAAGTTGTTTGTATGTTCACGTCTAATTTTACCAGAAGCAGTTTGAATGTTAGTCAATTTTTAAGATTTTTTTTCAAATAGATATACGTATATTTATTGGCGATAAACAATGTGATGTTTTACATTTTCTTTTCTCTTCTTGATGCGGCGAAATTCACAATTTTTTTTAAATTTCATCTCATGTTGCTTGATTACTACTAAAGGTGAATACACCTTGGTGAATCCAAGTCCATATGATGAGGTTGTGTATTTTTATATGGTCGCTATCAGAAAATGGAGTTTAAGTCAATATTGATCAAAATGTATGTTTTCGAAATGGTAGACGATTCGATTTTAACTCTATTATTCACTAGACATCATGATTATTATCGGGCATACATCTAATTTCGATTTCATGTTAAGTTTCCTGCATATATTGCTGTTAAGTTACAAAGTAGAATAAAACGTTTTTCAATCGTTTCTTGGTTTGTAAACTTTTTTCTTACTAATTCCATTTTCTAAGCCAGACGAAGTTTGGAATTAATCAATCTCTACAGGCTTTCATTCGCAAATATTTTTTCTATATTATGAAACACCAGCTAGGCTAAAATGCTCGGATACCTGATGAATCATTTGAGAATAAGAAACTCGGAATGGTATAACCGTACTAAAAATAATGTAAGATTGATTGCTTGATATCCATAAAAGATGTTTAGAATTTATGTATACTCATACAAGTTAAAATGAAGCCGAAGTCAACACCATGGCGAAGACGTTGACAAAGTGCACAGTCTGATCACCTTAATCATCAACACATGCACTTCTGGGATGTGGTTTTCTTCTTCGAAATAAAACTTTTTGTTTCAGCACCTGGACTAACTAAAAATAGTGAATTAGTTAAGTGAATCGACCGCTTCACTTATCATGGAAATCTCGTCAGTACTGATGGCCTAGTATCTGACTAAACCCCGGCGCGGATTCAAAAAGTCCAATTAGCTCATTTGCGTCACTTGTGATAAAGGCGTCTTGTAAAACATGGCCATTAAGAGTAGAGGATATTCCTAGGTTACTGGTATTCGATCATAGGTATCTACAAAGCATTACTCGAGTATTTTGGGACCACGTATTTAATAATGCCCTGAGTTAAGAATGGTAAATCGATTAATGAGGTAGTGAATTCTCATCAACTGTTTCGTATACCCAACCACCGCTTACCTCGATGGGCAACTTTTTCTGGTGTGATGATAGTCTCGATGAAGCTAGTGGGCGGCCACACCAAACATGGCATCAGTCCATGAAGTAATTAACAATTGGCTTGAGTCACATGAATAAGGGTAGACCACCTGGTTGGGTTCTGCGTGACTATCATAACCAATGGTTAGAGACTTTCAATAAAATGGATCAAAATCGTTTTCAATAGAGCAGGTGCATCCATTCCTTTTCGTCCCCAAAATCCTGAGATTATAAATTTCTCACAACGCTTGTTTTTATTTTACTAATTTATATTTTCTGAAGTTGTATCTTTAATGCCTAGTTTTTCTTATTACCATTATTACAATTGTTACCTCTATTATTCATGGATTTTTCCTGACAATTTCATATCTGCGCTAATTGGGTTGGACAAATTGAGTCGATGTACATACATACCAGGTCATATGATATGACCGACTGAATGATCTCCGTTATACACACAGGTGTAATTTTGAACACATTCCAAAGTTGCAATTTTCTCAAAGCTACATAAAACATTCTGTTGTATTTATTCTGATGATTGGTGGATATTTGATGCTTCATGTTGAATAATATCTATAATGCAGTGTATTTTTCGATAAATAGTTTGTTGATTGTGAGCTACACGTTTCTGATAGTATACCATTAAACTGGGTTGAAATATTAACATTAGAATCATGCTTCAATAACGTACATTGAATCAGATTTAGTAAATAAAAACGAAAAAATATCTGCTCTTTTGATTTTTACTTTCACTTCGATTTTCTAGTTAAAATTTCTCATCAACAAATTGCGTTTACATACATAAGTAATATTCTTTAGTAGAAAAATATAGTGTTACAAAAGACTATTATATCTAGCATTTGTATCAGTATATTATGTAAACCGATTTCTATGCTATCGTTTCGTGTCCATTCTTATTGAAATGGTTTTACGCTTTGGTTTCTTATCATTTTGATATGTATATATTCCAATACTAAGATTTCTATCAGTTTATTATTTGAGAGTAGAAAATATACTTCGATAAGTAGTACTTGATAAGCTTTTCCATCTATCCTATGTATTTTTATATAAAATATATCGATTATTATTCTGGGAAATATATATTACATCGGAATACTGTAGTTGTTTTTTTTTTTTGAGTTTATTAAACTCATACTTATTGCCATCTAAAATTTTCATTAATCGATTTGCTTGTACATGATATTGCTCCTCATACACATTAGTTTCTCTTTTTTTCCCTAAATTTTCTGCTCCAATTTCACTCTTTTCTAATTCGTGACTAAATCCGTTTATTTATTCTTTTTCATCCTTTAAATATTGAATAGTCCATTTCCCTTGATTGTATTATTATTATTATTATTCATATTATCATAATCTGTATAAATGTAATACCAATGAACCGTTTAAAAGTTTTATTTGCTATTAATTACTTATATTCACTAGAAAATGTTTATTTAACAAATGAGTTTTACAAGAACTAATCAAACAAAACAAAATAATAATCTCATTTTATCAATATATAATTACTGTATTGTATTTTTCTTTCTTTATTTAACAACAAAACAACATACACAAATTCATTAGATATTCAACTAGAAATATGACCCATTAAATTATGTTGCTTATTGAAATAAATTTTTTGCTGTACAATAACTTTACATATATTCAGTCGGTAGGGATATTTTTTTGCATGCAAAAAGTTGATCGAATGTTTAACGTTACTTTCTCAGTGAAATCATGAAACCTTATATTTGTTGATCAGATCTAATGTAAAAAAAAATACTATATTAATTGCGGGGTCCTTTTCTACAATGTTCTATTTTTCTAAAATTTCGTATTTAATTGATAATAACAGTAGAATTGAACAATGATAAGACGGAGAGACAATTGTAGTTTATTATGTGACGTATGAAAGTAAGAAAGAAAATAAACAGTAAAAAATATGTTTATTCATGAAAAAAGAAATGGAATAAAGAGAGCAATATAAAAAATGCTACATTTTAACATTAGTTACTGCAATAAGTAATATGTCGGTTATACAAATACCATTGGAAGAATGGGCTGTTAGTCTCTATTAAAAGTATACTATGGAAATAAGTTTATCAGACAGTGAATTTATTTTCTGCAGAAAAAGCTTGCAATAATTCTTTTTTTATGTAAATTTTATCATCTTTTGGATTCAGTGACTTCGTAACATATAACTAATCTTCTTTAACTGTAAACGATATTGTATGAGAATATATCAAATTTAACTGCATTAGTTAATATCACTAAATCTAACGTATGCATAAGTGTTAACCAATTTCCTCAAAAACATTCAATGTTATTCAATACGCCATTCCGATAATTAGCCTAAATATTTAGTTAATTTTTTTCTAAAACATTTTATTTAATTGTTTATAGAAGATCCCAGCATTGGGTAAAATGTAATAATATTTCATTTTCTATATTCTCTTCTTAAACACTCCGTCTAGGAGCACCAAGACTTCTACAGGCCATTGCTCAAGACAATGTTATGCCATTCTTGGATGTATTCAAAGTGATTACAAAACGTGGTGAACCATTACGTGCACAACTACTCTGTTATGGTATTGCACAACTGGGTATACTAATTGCTTCAATAGATCATCTAACTCCTCTGATAACCATGTACGTTTCATTGTGTTCTTTGTTTATAACTTATCTCTGGTTTGTATTTATTTTGTATTTTTAATAATCGTCACAAGAAAAGAAATATAACAATATGTATTCTACTTATAAACTGATAAGTTTGAAAATTAACATAGTGCTCATAATGTAATGGAATAAGCAAAGCTTAATTGATAGTCAGACACATATAAATGCAGTTATTGATCTTCGACCATATGCAAAGTGCAAGAGAACTTATATCGATTCGCAGAAACTCGGCTTTACTACATATGTTAGTTAGTTGTCAGTACTTGAAAATATTTCAATCCTTAAGAAGGTCAGTTGATGTCATAAAATGGCAACAACAAAATCTAAAAATATAAAACTAGATGATACTTGAAGTATCAGTTCTCTGAAGGCTATAGATAGGTCTCGCTGACGATTAATAACTAGCATTGCATCTAGATAAAGGGTTTCCTACTGTCTATTCCCAATCACCTAACATCAAATACTAGATCGTGCTCGTCAGATGAAATATTTAGTATTAGTAAGCAGAAATATTAATTGGATGTTTAATTTATTTTCTCGTGAATCAATCTCCTTTATTGACCGTAGTCTAAAAGTTATTGTTCAAATGAATCAATACATTGAACAGTAACGTATTGATCACTGATTACGCGTAAAAAATACATTGCCGAGTAAACATGGTCTTTATTTCTGTTTTGTTTAGTTAGTTTCTATCTAATAAATCTATTACATTTGTTTTATTAAGAAGTGTTAAATCAACTATAAAGAACCAGAAATGAATTAAATTAACAAATTATTTTCTGTTTTCGTACAAACCCTTAATTAGTTGTAATGATTGTGATCGTTGTGTCCAATAATTATATGTAACAGATCATACGGTTGTTCTACAATTTATTTGGAATTTTTCTATGGTTTTTCAATACAGTTTATTCGTTTTTGCTTCTACATAACAATCCAATCTATATATACATTATTAGAAGTCTTTGTGAATTAGTTTAAAAACTTTTCACTTACTACATATAGATAATTATAGTAGCGAATTAACAAAAAACTATTTTAATTTAGATTTGATTCTACCTATTTGAAATGTCCAACACATGTTGTTATTTTTCTGTTTGTAATAAAATATCTTAATTTAAAGTTTATGTTGATATTACACATAGAATTCCTTAATAAACTTTGAAAAGTCATAAGTGAAAGGACTGTGTTCACACAACAATCTGTTTTATTATTGAAGACAACCTAATCAATTATACAATCATCACACTAAAACTGACCAGAATTGTTATCAAATAAAACAAGAGAAAATGCTGTTACATTTATTTTGTGAGTCATTCATGTTGTTTGTTTCTTTCGTCCTTTTTTTTTCATCAAGAACACTTCAGGTATTAGATTCAATCTTCAAATCAGTACTGTTTTAATCTTTCATATTTTTTACACAAATATATTGTCACAGGTTGAAATCATGAGTCAATTGAAGCTAGACCACCATGGAAAACCTGGAAGCACTGGACATTAACACCGTTGGATGCCGGCTCAGTGGTCTAATGGTTAAGTGCTCGTGCGCGAAGCCAGTAGGTCCTGGGTTCGAATCCCGTGGGGGGCGGGTTCGTGGATGCGCACTGCCGAGGAGTCCCATACTAGGGCGAAACGGCCATTCAGTGCTTCCAGGTTTTCCATTGTGGTCTAGCTTCAATTGACTCATGATTTCAACTTGTGAAATTTCCTAAAAATCTCCGCAAAACTCATTCTGAAAATATATTAAGTGGTAATAAACAACTATGACTTAGTTATTAAGCATTTTAAAAACAACCCAAAGTATCCAACTGCCCATTAACAAATGATCTCAAATTTTACAAATCACAAACATTTTAAAATGGTTTTACTCTGAACATCAATATTTACAACTATTTATCCTTTCAAAAGTTTGCCTTACAATGAAGAATCAATAGGTATTTTATATTTATTTATGTAAAAATAAAGTACATACTATGTGATTTATTTCTGTAGTTCATATGTTTATGGTTCTTGGTTCCTTTTTACTAGTAGAAAGATCCAGACACCAAGTTATATAAATATATGTACATGACAAGAAAATAACAGGCTAAAACTTAGACCAGATTAATTTCTGTATATATTACTTTTGTAGAAAAACATGTCATATATTTTAGGCAGAAATCATTAAACCGTGCAATCTGGATTTAACTTTTTAAATCATTAAACATTTAACCAGTTACAGTGTTCCAAGAAGTTGGCCACTGACATGATAACACCAAGTTTATTAGTCTAAATAATGAAATAGAAAGATCCAATAAGCGCTGTTAGTAAAAAAGCCGTGACCACTGGAGTTCAGTCTTGTCGAGCGGGAAACAAATATTATGAATTATGATAGATGATGGGTGCACAATATCTTCAACTGATTGATGTTAAACGTATAGTCCTTTTGAACTCGGCCTTTGGACTCATGAGTTATGTGATCGCCACGATACCTGTATATCGTGAGCTCGATCGCCTATATGGTCACGGGTTTGTCCCGCTAAAAAATCACATACTAGGATGAAACAACCGACCAGTGTTTCCTGATTTTCAATGCTTACTTAACTAACAGTATTCAGTGATACAAACAGTGATATTACAAGGACGTTAAAATTAGTAGTTATTCATTGTACACATTTTCATTTTTTGCGCCATTGATTTCCAAAGATTATGGAATAAAAAATAATCACTTTCATATCTTAGTAAACGCAATAAATGCTTATAATTCTAACTCACAACAAAATTATCGAATACTAAATTAAGGATAAGATCGCATAAATGACTGGTCCCATGAATTAAATTGGTAAAATGATGTCATCTTTTTTTATTTATTAATTAAAACCATTTCGTTTAGTTTAGCTCGAAATCAACCACATTGTTCAAATACATAGTCTATAATAAGTCTAGTTTGTATTCATATAATACAATAATATTTGAAATTCAATTGAAACTCTTTTAAAATTGACCAGATTTATTTTCTTTGTTTCACCACGAAATTGTAACAGTGAAAACATTATTGCCAGATATTTATCTTAAATATCAAATTAACAATGTATTGAGGAAATGTTTACACATATATAAATGACTGTAGTTAGTTCGTAGGATGTTTAACTGACTGGTATCTAACAATCTATACGGATGATTAAATAAAATCAGGATTTTCTAAATTTTGTGTATAGATCAGCGTATGAGCCTCTTCAGTTTCAGTGGCAGTATACTTCATGTTTCTCGTCTTTCCAAACACCGTACATCCTATGGAAACAGCTGATTGAAAATTCTTCAAAACTGACTACAACCATATGGTCCAATTCATGTGCATAATTCGCAAACTTCAATTAAATCTACAAATTCTAACCAGAAGATCAACATGAAATGATGACTTGTAAAAACTATGTAAAAACTAAGTTACTTTGTCATTACACACCCCAAAGTAAAAGGTATCTTTAGATTCCCGATAATTCTAAATTAATAATCTTTTGATGGATCACTGATTACAATTTCATCTTAGTTTATCAGTTATCGAATTGTTTAGAATCAGAATATTGTAAAGTGATCGATCAAAAACATAACCTGTGGCTAAACACTAATCAAAGATTATTCATTTTTTGATAATAAATTAATTCGCTTTTTTTTATTGTAAATCTTAATGACACTTCATTACGTCGTAATCTTCAGAAAAATTGAAAAACAGATGTATTGAATGTTTATATATATTCGACGAAAAAATTGATTCACATATTATCCAACAGTTTATTTCCACCAGACCTTACATTTTATAATTTCATGGTGATTTAGTTTTTCCATCCCATCCGTTTAGAACTTTGTGATTCGTGTATAAATAATGATAGCTCTGAATTTTTCGTTATATTGTACATACTTCCGTTGATTTCTTTCAAAAACTACTTGAGAACAATATTAGTTTATTTTCAGTTACCATCGTTACTTACATAGTTAAGAATTAACTATTGCCTAATTATTTATTTAGAAGTTTTCCATATATGCCACACTGAGTTTGACAGATGGATAATTTTGTGTATACATAAATCATGCTAATAGTTACGTCATAAAAATTGTTTTAAGTCCCATATTTGTGTTACATCATACTGTTGTCTTAACAATTTATTGAACTTATTGCCTTCGTGTTCTGTAATATCACGAGGAAAACCAGTTCAAAATTCATTCTTGTTCTCATTGAATTATATCACTGTTGGCGGCCTGTATGTAGGATTCATTGCTATTTGACTAAGAACTTATGTTTACTATTCAATGTTACAAAAACTTACTTGTTATTTCAAAAGTTCATCGGTATGACTATAAAAAGACGTATAGTTTAGATTTCTACTTAGGTGTATACTATCTTTCATTCGAATCAATAATCTTAACAGAATACATTCCAAGTAATTTGTAATAATAGTTTTAATTCGCTAAAAAATGTCATATTCCTTTTCAGATTTCATTTTCTTATATTTGTGTAGTTTATCTGATATCAAAACCTTTTGCTATCGCTTGTCATTTGTTCACCGGTTAAAACCAAATATACTACACTTCCCTCTTGTATTTATTACAAAGTGGTTATATATGAAATAATCTAGTTGATTTTCCCAACACGTATACAAAATAACTTTCCAAAATTGTTTTGTCCATTAATCGAGTTTTCGACAAATTTTATTCTTTTTTTCGCTAAACGCCTGAGTGAAAAAAATAAACAATATCTTAGATTTGCTTGTAAATAATGAACTGCAACAATATTTTGTTTTCTACTTGAAACTTCGTCATTTCTTTTTAATAGCTATCATGTTGTTTGTATATTAATGGAAGAATAAATTATTGTTTGGTGATTAACAGAAATTCAATGGTGATAATAATAATCATACCAAACCAATAAACTGTTCATTCAGAAAATAGACTTTACATAATTTTTTCGCACTTTATCACAGAAAATTTCTTTTGCATCGTAC